CGGTGCCACGCCCGTTATCCAAAATTTTATCACAAACGTATTTCTTGGTTAATTAATAATTAATTCTTGGTAATTGGAATAAATTAGCTTTAATATTTACTGATTTATCGAAGATTTTGTATTTCTCTAATACCATGTCCCCACCGGAGCTAACCACGTAGTTATGACTAATGAGTTGGTTATCCCGATAACCCACTTGATTTAACGTAGTTTCGCCATATAAAAATGACAGTACTTAACCATTTCACTGAGATGGTTAAAAGCTAACCAACTCGAAACCANGCTCTTTAAAAAATTAAGTGTTAGATACCTTCTACTTTATAGAAAATGCTAAAAATTACCTAAATATGTAACATATTATCCTTACATTGCCTCGCGTTCTTATTTTTGCATGAATAGAAAATATTTAAGTAAAAAAATTAATGTCAGAAACGAAAATAATAAAATCAATCTAGTACGGAAAATTTGTTTTGCTCCGAACACTGTTCTCTACATTTGAACTGTTTTATAAACCTCAAACCGCAGTGTGGACAGCAATAGTTAGTGATGTGGTTAAGTTCGATTTGAGATGGTTAGCTTTTTGGTGGGGACATGGTATAAATTAGCGTTATATGGGATGTGGGCATGGTTATTGTACGATTTTAAAAATTTTCAGCCATTTGGTATGTTGTGCGAAGGTCAACAGCTGTTTGAAATTGGTGCAGCGGTTACCAAGATATACACATGTAACCATAAGTGGGCGTGGCTACGCCCATTTTCCAAAAATTTATAATATTCTTATTTTTCGTCTGAAAATTATTGTAAATATCAATTTTGAGTGACCATTTTCAATACCAACCTACCTTGTATTAACGGAAAGCTGCATACCAAATTTGGTTGAGATATCTAAATTTTTGCTCGAGTTATCGTGTACACGGACGGACGGACAGACGGACAGACGGACGGACAGACAGACATGGCTTAATCGATTTCTCTATTCATTCTGATCATTTATGTATAGATTTGTATTTTCGATTCGTTTTGGCTGTTACAAACAACCGTTATGTGAACAAAATTAATATACAACAAAATTAATATATATATATAGTGCACAAGTGCGCTCGTGTATAAAAAGAACAACAAGCTAGGGATGGCAAAGTCGACTGAAGTCGACTTTTCACTTTCGACTCTCGACATTTTTTAAATTTATTTGCCAATAAAAACTGATCTTTCAACAAGCTCGCGGAGTGCTGTTTGGTCGTATTTAAAAAAAAAATTGTCTATAAAACTGTTGTGAAATGTGAAAAGTGTGGTATCGAAATGAATTTTAATGACAGTACAACAGTACAAATTATTTAAGAGCAGCTCATAAAATTATTATACGAAAACAAATTCCTCAAATTTGGTAATCGTTTGTCTCCATAATCTTCAGTTAATAATGAGGTAAGATAAACATATTATATTATTATAATATATATTTTAACAATTTCATGCAAGAAAGTTTTTCTGCTTGAGTTTATGTAAGTTTTTGCAGACAGTCTTCGGTTCGAATTTGACCAATCCGTAAGGTACAAAGTTTTAAACACCGCTAAAAACGTTGCTGGTAGGATTCCAGTTAATATGCGACATTGGTCATGTGGATAGTCCCAATCCACTAGCTGTCTGGGCTACTCCCATATTTATCCATGCTTATAAAGTGGCACTTATATTTCTACCAATACCCGCCAATTCTGCTCCATCGGAAAGGCCACATTTTTCAAAAAGTTGTCCGCAATTACCAAATATCGATTCAAAAAATTTTTAGATTTTTTTTTGTGAGAATTTAAAATTTTTTTTCAAAAATTTTCATGCTGTATAACTGGAACAAATTTCAAAATTTTGAAAAATCCTTTAGTGTCTGTTTTTTTTTACCTAGCATTGAATTTCACTAAATTACAGATTATTCTAAAGACCACTGGTAAATCATGATATTTTTGGCGTATTCTGACTCCTATATTTATAGCTAATATATGAGTTAAATGCAGAGTATACTTAATACATTTTCTTTTTATAAAAAAAGTCGAA